TAATAATAATAATAATACGTTTATTGGTCCTTAATATGAGCATACAAGAAGCTATAGGGCAAGTCAAGGTATACAAAATTGTAGTAAAATATAGTATTATAGGTATATATATATATATATACATACATATACACATATATACGCATATACATACATCCACATACACATCTATACACACACACATATGACAATGAACAATATAATATAATATATAATTAACCGGGAGTTGATCATGATGATTTTGATACAAAAAGTAGGAGGCATGATTTAGGTAAACTCAGACCGACTGTGAGTATTATTCATCTAACAATTCACTTATCACATTTCTCGGGTTGCTATTAATAAAGTATTAAAAAGTATTTCAGTCGTTTTTTGAACATATTAGTGCTCTTCAGAGATTTAATCTCTTCCGGAATATGATTATAACATCTAGGTGCAAGGTAAGGAAACGATCTTTGTGTTGTTGTTTTAGTCATAGAAGGAAGTTTGTAATAGTTTTTAATTCGTATGTTATAGTTATGAGCAGGGAGTTGGTTGGAGTGTTTTGAAGTATGATATATAATACTTGTGATGAAGAAGTATAACTGCCTCAGGTCTAAGATCTGTGATTCAGAATAAAGTTTGTCAGAAGGATATCTGAGGTTTTTAGAGTATATCAGCCATCTCCTCTATATCACTTCTAATTGGTTTATGTGCGTCCTTAAAGCTCCACCCCATGCTAGAATCCCGTAGCGTAGATGGCTTTCTACTAATGCATGGCATAACACAGGTATACACAGGTATGTTTTCTTTGAGTTTTCTGAATTTGAATAGAATGGTTCTTAGTTTCTTTGATAGGTTTGTTATGTGAAGATGCCATTTTAAGCGATAGTCAATGATGATTCCCAAGTATTTAATTTTTTTTCACAGGTAGGATGGCAAATTTTTCAGTGGCGCTTTCTATTTTCAATGTTTGAAAATCGGGGAGTCCAGGTGAGCTGCAGCTAAACGGTAAGTAATAAGTCTTGTCTGTGTTGATTGTAAGTAGTTTGTGCTCGAACCATTTTTTTATAATTTCAAAATCGTGTTCAGTTTCAAGTTTCAGATTCTCTCACTTATCAGATTTATAAAATATAGCTGTGTCGTCACAACGTTTCGGCAAAATCTCATTTGCCATCTTCTGGTGATGTCTGTTTTTTTTTTAATAATATGAACAAGAGGGATGATGCGCAAATATTACCATCAACATGGAGATCCGTTTTATCACTTCGCACAAGCAATCAGACTGCTCAACTCCAGAGGCAAAACTCGGTACATGACAATACAGGTACAATAACAGAGACAGGAGAGGCAGCTCAGGTAATAAGACCAAAACAGGTAGTCGAGCAAACACAGGTAGTGGCAGCAACGCAGGTAAAGAGAAATATCCATCCCTATAAATTGAGACACAGAGTTCGAATTTGAATATGTAATGATATACAGGGCGTTCTATTTTAAAAAATGGAATTTTGGTCTGTAGCACCTACACCAAACACCCTGTATATTTAAAAATTATATCAAAATATAGCTCTCATGAACTCCTAAATCTTTTGTATGAAACATTTTTGTGTATCTCCTTCAACAAACCAGATATTGCCTGTCACATAAAATGTGGGACACCCGGTATATATTCATGCTCGAGAAGAGGATTGTATATGGCAGTTTGTAATTGACATAAAATCAGAGATCATTTCCAGAAATCTGTGATTTTTTAGTGTCAGCAAGTATTCTGCTGAGTACTGCATAGACCTTTATGCACTTGTCGATATGCCTATCCCATCTTATCTAATTCATTCACCATCTACTATTGTTATTGAATTGTTAACATCATGTGCTAATTGTAACCTCATCTGATTTTATTTAACTATCTTGTGTGTCAAATGTTGTTTTTGGCCTACTACAAATGTATTTGTGCATAACATAGTCAATAAATTGTATCTAACTATCTATGATTACACAAGTCTGAACACAGTTCATGTAGCCTCTCTTTTCAGGAAGATATGACAGGAGGTAAGTCTTGAAGGATCTCCAGACAATTGCTTCATACAATCATCCTGCATGTACCTGATATATTTGTTTGGGGCACAAGCCCCAAGATTCATCACAAATCCTTCGACATGTCCATAGGACAGTCTGGCTTTTAATAAAACTTTCAACAATAGAGCCTTCAACTTGGGTTTTTTATCAAGGATAATACCAAGATATTTCACCTCCGTTGCTCACTATTGTCAGACATAATGCTTCGTCTCCACTTGCAATTAAACTTGCTATATTTACTCTCGCAAGTGACTTGCGCGGCGTGTACATGGCCTCATCAGAGCGATATTGCAGCACATTTATTTGCATACATACGACTTGCAATTTGCTCTTGGAATTTTTGCATGAGCGGTTTCAATTTATTTTTATCGTCTGATTCTAATTTGTGGAATATATCTTGAATCCATCTTCACCTATATAATGTAGGAGTTGTGCACACTGAACTGATTCATCTTTTTTTGTGACTTCGGATGCAATTAAATAATTTTCGAATCTTGCTCGCCATGTTCCCCAATTTTCGGCCACATTGCCTGCCAAACAATGGTGAAATTCCTCGACTATCTCCTTTTTACCTTTGAATATTCATTTTGTAGGGCCTCCTGCAGAACAGTACTGAGGAACACCTTGCGATCGATACAAATACATGAGCGAATGATAGGAATCACCTGAAAGAGAATAAGTTTATTATTTCTTGATATGTTCATTTTCTTTAATTTTTCATAATGAAAATATAAATTTGTCTTACATAGTAAAATATTTGATAATAATTGAATTTATAGATTTATTGTACAATCACTTGTTGCTTAAAAGCGCTCCTCTGGGCTGATAGCTACCCGCATTTTGGTATACTTTTTAGTAATTTTGTCCTTCACTTAACTCAGTACAACATCAAAGTCTACTACAAACATTCGCAAAACATTTTTGAGCTGCTTTGGGTTTTTAGTTCTCAATTTGGTAAGTAACTAGTTCTACGTTGAATCCACTTTCTAACCCAACATTTGTTCCTTCTTTTACCGTTTTCCTTACTTTTTTTTTCGTTGAATTAAAATTTTCTATCGCAGCAGCTATTTTCTGTTGCGACAACATTTTCTCACTAGGTATTCAACAATTATGTGTACACGGGATCGGAAATAGTCAGAGCAAATTCACTTGCTAGAGTGATTTGCTAGATTAAATTTACAGTTGAAATTTAATATAGACAGGCCAATAAGTACTTGCTGCAAAAATTATCACAAGTTACTTGTAAGTGGACACGAAGCTTGAAAGAGACTTCAATAGTTCAAATCAAGGTTGGAAAATGAATAACGTAAATGATCAATAATGTTATTAAAGCTAGTCATTGGAGATTTCGTACAACAAAAAAAATTTCAATAAAACATTAATCATTCACAAGAAACGTATATTGAGAGAAGGTAGTGGTCCAAAGGAAGTATTGGTATTCTAAAATCCAGCGTTGATCTGAAATCAGCTATTTGCATTTTCAAGGGGTTAGCGAAAAAATTAAACAAATTACTTACCAAAAATAGTACTGATTTGAATACAACCCAATTTCTGTTAGTTTCAGATTTTCACAGTATGGAGAATTTGAAAGGTTGATGGAGAATTTATAAATGCTACTATCTTGGAACTACTTAGATTTAATACTTCTCTTCTTTTCTTTGAATATTTCGAAAACAAAACTTTTTTCGTGATTTCATGCCATGAATAAAGATACCGAATATTTTATGTCAGA